TTTACACAGTACAACTCCTCCAAATACATTTCTCATACTTACGTCGGGTTTTTTATTTATATAAATCATCATCATCAAAATAGTATTAGTTACCAGAATTTCATTTCATTTGCCAAAAAGTTATCTGTTGCAAAGCGTAAAAGGAAAAAAGGCCCAGCTATATAGTAAGCAGGATTTCTCCAGGATTTCTGCTTTTTCACTCATTTTCAGTCCAGTCCTTGTACCCAACCATTTCCAAAGGAATGTTTTTTGCTAGTTAGGCCAAATAATACTGTCCTATGAATCATTCAAGCATAAAAATGCACCTATTTGAAAAGATGAACCAGTTTTTTGTCTACGCATAACAGACAACTTAGCAAAGAAACCATTTTAAATTGCTTCTTTAGGCACTTTCTTACAAGCAGCCTGTTGTAAAAACACAATTTTTCCTATTTCTGTAGCCAATTCTATGGAAATTGCCAAAGATAACACGGTTTGAAAGATATAAATTGTATTTTTGCACAAGATTCTTTCAGCCAAAAACAGCATGATGTGCAGTGGGTCCTCCTTTTTTTGAGCCACCACACAGTGCCATCTGGAAAAGCATTTGATTGGCAACAGCTTAATTTTTCAGCTTGACAATGATTCCAAACACACTTAAATCCAGTTAAAGAATACCTGGATAGAAAAACTATCAGTCATGGATTGGCCTCCCCAGAGCCCAGACCTCAACATTATTGAGGTAGTGTGAGAACAAAAGGCAGCCAACATCCAAAGAAGAGCTTTGAATTTCCTTCAGGAAGCCTGGAGAACTACTCCTGAAGACTACTTAAAGTAGTTTAAGACTACTTAGAGTAGTCTTCAGAAAGCTGCCTAATAGAGTTCAGGCTGTGTTGAACACACACACATCAAAAATTGACTTTGAAGCTTGTTCGAATTGTACAGACTGTTTTTACCTTATATGCTGTATTTTCATAATGTTTCAATAAATCTCTACACGCATTTCCCATTTTCTAGAAAAATATAACAGAATGAGGAATGGCTCAAGTGCTTTACGTAGTAATATATTTGAAGAATATATGTAAACACAGTAGTTACAGTATGTGTACCTCTGAGTACTACACGTCACTGCCAATAGTTTACATGAAGCATCGAATGACGATTAAATTTCCTTCTAGAGTAGTTACAATGTGAATATTGCAGCTTTGAAGCATGAAATGAATTCAGTGAATTGTCAGGCACAAGAGGGAAAACAGTTGTTTCCTGACACACACACACACACACGCACGCACACGGTCATTTTAATAAGGAAGGAGAAGGTTAACACACAGAGTCTCATCTGAACAGAAATCACTCCAGTTAACGCTCTGTAACTGATTCACTTAAGTCAGCTGGTCATTGACTCCCCCATCAATATATTGAGCTCTGATTAAAAGGACTGAATGGTGCAGGCATGTGAACAGCATCAACTACCGGTTTCTGAAGACCGAGGAGGAACATCTGAGATGGGGGCTCTCTGACACCATGTCAATAGGACACACTGGTAATGGGCACAAAGGGTTCATCTGTAAAAATGAAAGAATCAATAATATTTAGAATATGCAGTTTATTTAAAAAAACAAAAACGTAATAAAGCTAAAAAAATGTGTTATTCTTGCACACCTGGCTTCGGTCTCGTTTTCCAACAGAAGGCAACCAAAAGCTAGAGGAGATAAAGAAAAAACGATCATGGAAACAAATACAGTTGATGTCTAAGAGTTATGTTTCTAAGATAGTTTTTAAAACTTTCGTACTCTCTTTGGTAAGGATCCTGGGAAAAGTGTCTCAGTCGCTCTACAAACACTGGCATGCTGCTGGCCTATGAAAAACGAATCAAAGATGTACAATAAGAAACAAAACACGAAAACTGTGCAACGGTAATTATTGAAGAGGGAAATTCAAGCTTTCTTTAACCTTGCTGGGAGGCCGCCTCCTATCCCTCCTGACGCAGCATGCAGCAGAGCCAGCCAGTCGTTTAAGACGTGAATGATACCCTGCAATGGCACAAAAAAAACAACACTTTATGGTTTAGCAAAAACATGAATAAAGGAAAAACTGAATTGGTTACACTAACAATATAATCAACAATTCTGATTTTATAGCATTCTTCTTTTTTTAAACAAGCAAAAGAATTTATAGGACAACTCAAGTGTCTCCTGTAAGCCAAGGTAGTGATTTGCAGACCAACGCTACATATTGACGTGGTACCAGTCAAATATTCAACAGCGCTTTATTGCAGTGATAAAGATGCAGACTCGAGCGTTTCAAAATCTAATACTATATCTAGAAGACAGAATTGCTCTTTGCAACCTCGGTCAGAGAGTCGTGCAGGTTGCAGAAAGGCGGCTGAGGAATGGTTGTCCTCAAGGGGAAGCTGGCTGTCAGAGTCCCAGCTGGGCAGCAGGCCAGCCACACCCGTCCCAACTCCACAATCCCCCTCGAAGAACCAGTCACTCTGTTCGTCATCACCTGCACAGAGGGGAAGGGCAGATCTTCCATCAGTTAGCAAATCACTCTGACAATAATGAAGATTGTCAAGCAATTTGTTGAAAACATTAAGTAAATATTAGACATAAGCTACAATAACTCTCATTTAACGCTGTGTTGATGTCTGAGAGAAGCTAAGTCACTGCACATTTTTAGCATCCTACAAGCTGCGGGGTGAACTACTCCTTTAACTACGCATTACCAGACAGCACCGGGCTTTTCCCCAGACGGCGAGCTCTTCTCAGACCTGTCACTCAGCAAAGCGTACACAGGAACCATGCCTCTCACAGTCAAGGTGTAGTGACAACTGTTAAATCAGAGGCCGCCTGGCCCCACCACGGCTAATGAGATTAGCAAAGGCTTCGGCGCTCATTAACACGACATGACAACGTCTTATTAGAGTCGCCTGGGTGCCCAGCAACCGGCCCATTGTATCTAAACCGCCTTCTCTAGCCCCAGCATTCCCTCATAGCCGAGCAGGGTATTGTCCAAATCTGACAGCTCGTCATCGTTCTAGTTTGAATCCATGTTAATAATACATATTTGTCTCTTAATACCTTGTCCTCCTTCATCATTGGTGAACAGACCAGGGTCGCTGCTGCATGTGCTGCTGGTTTCCCTGCAAAGAGAAAAAACATCACATGTGAATGATTCCCATTGAAACTCCTTCTTTAACGTCAATATCAATAAAAATCTGAGGATCGGGAACTCCACTTTGATTTGTCACCTCGTAGATTCTTTAGGTCAGGCAATGCTATAGCATCTGAAAAGTGAACAATGAAAATCCAAAAATGGCTATCTCCTGTAATGTCAGTATCTAACATGCAACATTCAATAATAGAAATAATGAAGAAGTCTGGATCTAGAGGTCGACATAAATGGAAATGACACAAAGAGACAGAGCGTGCTGTGATCTCCCTTGTTGTGATAGCAAACACAAAGGCATCAGGAGAGACTCTGATCGAAGCCACTGAGTGACATGAACAATCTAATTGAATATCCTCCGCTGTCAGCTCCAATCTAATCTGGCCTGCGTTGTGGAGGATGACAGGAGAGCGAAACGCATTCCCCTGTCCGCCCCTCCCTCTGGGTGTGCCCCACACGCGGATCGACCCACAGACGTGCCGCCTCGACAACTGGCCGACATCTGCTGCGTGGGCTGCCTCTGCACAGACCGCTCCGTTGCCGGTCCTCCCCACGTCCTCGGGGCAACCCCTGTTACGCTCCCTCCACACCCTCTGTGCCCCCTGCCCCTCACCCAAATAACTGTGGCTTTTCTTTCTTTTTCACATTTCATCCTCCTCAAACTGGGACCTCCAGACAGTTCAAGGTCAGAGGATAAGGAAGGAGCAGTAAGAGATGAAGAAAGAGGCCATTTTTTCTGCCGTTGTTTTTAAATACATGTAGCACATGGGTTTATTGATTAACTACACGCTGCATGTACTGTTCTGAATACCAGTAAGCCTGGGTGACTGGTTTCCAACACACACACACCAGTTTCCAACAGCCACAGTACTAATTGTTTTAATTAGCTTCTGTTTGACCACTTTTTTTAAAGGAAATATATATTTTGACATATATTTGATATATCATCATCAGCTTGTGCGCCACACACTGGTTTATCCGTTTAATTAGTCAAATTGGTATTCATGCAACTTTTTGAAAGAAAAGGCGCTTAATTCTCTTGACCAGCTTGCATTTTGCTTCCTGTTTATCATCGCTGACCTTGCTTGTAGGAGAGAGCTGGAGGGTCGGATATGCGCTGATATGGTGCTTTGCCATATTGCAGAAGCCTGTCAGTGATGACAGGATCAGGAAAATGTCCATCCAGCCTGTCTGCCTCCCTAGCCAGATGGTCCTGCAGCTTCTTCCCTAACATCCACAGGAAGCAGATGTGAGAGGGAACAGGCCTCTCCAGAGAATCTGGAAGATGTCTGCCCTAACCCAGCAGTCCTAAACCGTCCCTCCCCTTCAACCTTCTCTCCTCACCGATTCCCCCGGCCTCTCCTCAGCTGTACCCCACCTCTGGACATATCAGCTGGCATCTGGAGCACACAACATCAGAGGAGGACACTGCCTAAAGCTCTACAACAGCCAACACCTGCATCCCCCCCCCACCCTCCTTTTATGCTCCGGTCTATTACCTTTCATGGGAATTTCTCAGGATGTTCTTTCCCATTTTCAAATAAGAAATCTGTTTTGCTTCATATTGTGGGATTTTGTGCAAAGTTTGAAAAAGAATCACAGGTATAAACAATTAATTAGAGACTCCCATTAAGTATTTATCCGTATTAAAGGTGTAATGCGATGTCGCTTGAAGCAGCATAGGGCCGATGTGAGACCGTTTCCATTAAGTACTCTAATTAATGTTATAAATAATTGAGGTCCCCATTTTTCTTGGGACCAAAAGAAACACCTCTTCTTTCTTCTTTGACCTTTGTTGAGAAAAGTTGACAAACGTTTTGAGCAAACTTGGTTTTGTCTCGCTGCATGCAGCAAGAAAATCCTTCCATGAAACTGCAGCTTATCTGATCAAATGTAACAATACTTTTCTGTAATAAATACCATAATTAGAATAAATATGCCCAGAAAAAACAAAGACAAGGGCAAAACGAAATTAAAAAACTGCATTCCAGCACTTAGAAATGGACTTAGCTTCCCTCACAGCTGTATTGTCTTATTACAATCCAAAGAGTTGAAGCAAAACACAGTATCCAGATGAGCACTAATCATTAGGCTATAATCCTCAGCTCCTGGGAGAGGCAGACCAGTTTGCACAGAGATTACAGACAAGCCGCCATTTATTGAGCCTGGGCTCATTCTGCAGAGGAATAAAGAAGAGGCAGAGTCGGAGGGGGGCAAAGTGCTGATAACAATGGATCTGTGGGCTCTTCAAACAAGCCGCCCCAACCCAAATCCATGCCCTCTTCCATGGGTGTCTGATTATAAGGTTATCCCACCCTCCCTGAGCTGCAGTAATTGGATTAGTCTCAGAGATTTATGAAAATTAACTTCTGCAGATGCCGTGCTGCCCCCCCCCCCAAAAAAAAAATCCCCCCTCACTGAGTTTTTAAAATGTAAATGATATCAGTAAGAGAGAAGTGCCCACAGTAGATTTTGTTTGCTTTTGATGCCAGGGATGAAATCAACAACACCAGAAGCAGCACACAGCTGGAGACCAAGGCCGAGCCCGGGACAGCAACTACCCACAGGTGAGGCCTGCTTGCTGGGACAGCCTGGGTGCCAGGTGGCCTCACTGCCAGCAGGCTGAGCCACGTCTAATCAAGGATGTGGAGCCCAACTGGAGCTACCAACATCTGCTCTCCTTGCACTTGGGTGGCTGAAGGCAAAGCCCTGCTCGGTGTGCACACAAGCCGAGTGACCTTGAGATGAGGGAGATCTTAGAAGACCAGAGGCTCCAAATGAAAAAGGTTAAAGGAATGAATCAAAACTGAAAGAAGAAAAAAGTCCAAGTGACTCAAAAGACATTACAAGAATGTCATGAGTGTCTGACATCAAATGGACCGTACACTCTCAGAGCATAAATACAGCCGCTGTACCACTGTCAACCCCTCATCACCGCTGCTATTTGTTCATATCCTTTTGCCTCTGCCAGGACTTAACCATTAGATTGTTCAGCCCTCAGTACAGTGTGGCAGTCTACTGAGCAGCAATCAACAGTGGTGGCGTTGTGTAAGTGAGAAATGATTGACAGCGTGCCATGGTGCTCCCATTTATTTCTTCTCCGGAGCTGTTTTCTGTCAGAACGGCTATTGATTTTTCCATAAAGTAAGAAAACAAGTACCGTTTAGGGGCTAGGGAGGTCAGCACAAATTAAACCTGAAGATGTAAAGCCTTCTCTCCGTCCCATTATGGGTTCCCTCAAATGTCTTCTTCACACATGTTTTATGTGATCAACAGACAATGAGATCAGCAAAGGAAATATGTTATGAAAGTCCACTGGATGGCATTAGAAATGGTAAACAGGATGTACGACGCTTCAAAAAACCGACTCTGTTCCTGTGTATCTGACCAGCACTGAGAAGCATTTGTTTATTATAACTGTAACTGTATTGTGGCATTATATCCCTGACAACCCAATGACTATAATGTACAGAAACGGGATAGGGTGTGTGTATATCAGCTACTGCCTCCTGAGTCAAGGTCCGTGTCTGAATCTGCTTCCTGAATACTCTCTACTCTCTGCTATTGTATTCAAATGTTAAAATTCAGAAGTCCGAGCACGACATGGTGTACTCAAAAAACACTTCTATTATGACAAATAAATGCCACCGACATGCACCACTGCCTAGATACTGAAGACGTGCATCTATTAGAGTAAAAATCAGTCATTAAACAAACTAGGCTTTCATAGCCTTGTACCATTTTGTTTAGGGGTACTAAGAGACTATCTCATTTTAGCTATAATCACAAGCAGTTTTTCAGGTGTCACCTTGTTTAGTTTGTGCAACTATGATCTTCAAAGTAAAAAAAAAAAAAAAGCAACCTTGGGGCCTGAAAAGTGAAGCCACTTTGTAAGGACCTAAAACTGCAGTCCCCCTAGTGGCCACTAGAGGCTCAGTCCAAAAGCAAATCAATCCTTGCAGACTCGCATGTTAAAATCCAGTAAAAACAAACATGTTACACACTGGGCTTTTATAGCAGGGCATCTGCATGGGGATGCTTTCAGTTCTTAATGACCTGCTCAGTTACATCTTATAAAGGCTTAGAGTTTGCATCATAAGTGGCACGACCTCTCTGAAAACGAACATGTTATATATGATATATGGATGTATAGTACCTACTACTGCAAGATAAATAACCATAATGTAATATGGAATTAAGTTGAAGCATACATAAAAATCTAATGCAAAGAAATTTACAGATGCATAGGTGCATTTATAGATGCACAAAACTACCTCTGTACATGTTAACGCCTCTTAAATGTACAAAACAAGGAGAAATAATCTAATTGTTTTATTTACTTCTCAACACACAGTACTATTAAATGTGTATATTTAACAGAGAGCGGTGAATGAAACTTAAATTGAGGTCATTGGTAGTTTTTGGGCTTAAGCTAAAGCAACATATGGTAATGTTTTCTTTACTGTAGTAATATAATGTCCCTCTCTGCTGCCAGTTACAGCCACATTTAGTTTTGCTAAATAAAATGCGCACAAGACGGTGCACTCTGGGACTGTGGGACAGGCACAGCTTTAATTACCCAGCCCAAGACAGGAATTCATTTCAAAACAAATCAATACCACGCCAAGTCACTTATTTATTTGTGACAATATTTCTTGAAAGAAAATAATGAGCTGGCAGATGCCCGGAGGCATAACTATCAAAGATCCCTCCCTGATGATCATTTCAGCTATACGAGATGAGGATGAAGAGACTCTATCATTCATTTTTAATGTCAACTCAATACTTTAAAGCGGAGTGGCATGATTGTGATACATTTTTTTCGGTTTAGTTGAGGACATGCTGAATATTGACAACTGGCTAGATGGAGACAGGCATTATAGATCATCCTAAATGTCGCCTTGTTTAATTGCTTCTGTCTGATAGTAGTTATGCCCATGACTTTTATGTTATGGGTTTAACTGCCTTGGTAACTTTCAGTTTAAAGGGTAAAAGGGGCTTTTAGAGTTTTGAGCTTCTTTTTCAGCATGATTTAAATTGAGACTCTTTAAACAAGGGCAGGGTTAACATTTTGCTCGCTGCACAACTGTAAATTAAATGTTGGGTTCGAAAAGCTGAAAATGTTATTTTTCACAATTAATGAGTCCAAAGTGCTTAATACGACTCTTAATGTTGGGTTGAGGAGGCCAAAAGTTGGGTTTACCTCAAAGAAAGAAGAAAATGTAAAAATTTACCCATCAGACATGTTCTCGTCTGCAGCATCTCTGTGCTCCTTCTTTCTCTCCCAGCACTCCTTTCCCATCAGTCTGGCTCTTTCAGTCTTTCTGTCTGCTCCCATCCAACCACCAGACCGCTTCTTTGATCCTGACAGATGCCGCACCTTAGAAGGCCTATTCCTCTGTTTCCTGTCCAAGCCAGAACCTTTTAAAGTGGACTGCAGTCTGACGGTTACATTTGAGGTCATGCGTTTAACTTTCCTCCGCCTCCTGAGTGGACGTCCGGGGTTATTCTCAGTGAAGGAGTCGGACTCTGGCCAGGAGGACTGCCTCGCCCTGACTGAGCCTCTCATGAGGGACGGCCATCGGGTGGATGCGGTCATATCGTCAGAGTCACTGCAGTTGGCCACAGAAGTAGTGATGTTCTCCCTGTATTCTTTAGCCTCGTCCAAGCTGGACTCGGATGCCTCGATCCAGCATCGCCTGTGCTCTATCGGGTAGAGGGCGGACTCGCGAAAACGCTTACGGCCTCTGCGACGGCGGATCTGACGGCGTTGCTGCAGAGGACTCAGTACCATTTCCTCCCATAGCTCTCCTAGCTTATTCTGTTCTGAGGTCTGCTCCAGTGCAGATACCAGGTCCTGCACCAGCTCATCCATCATGGTGCTGGAAAAGAACGGAAATGTTAGTGACCAGTTAAACTCTTTGGATGACTTGTCATGTTAAATTGCAGTTTTAAAGCGCAGGCTAGAGGTTTATATGAAACAACAGAAACGTCCGATGTACTTTTCTAATTGATTAGCAGCATCTTCACTCGCTGGCCAGCAGGCACACATGTCAAACCTCTTGTTAATGCAAATATCTAATCAGCCAATCACACAGTACATTTAGGCATGTAGATGAATTCCTGTTGAAGTTTTAACTGAGCATCAGAAAGGGTAAGAAATGTGACTTCAGTGACTTTAAATGCAGTCACATCGACTGGTCCCAGTATTTCAGAAAGTGCTGATCTACTGGGATTTTCTCACAACCATCTCTAAGGAATGGGTTATGATGCCAGAGGAGAGTGGGTAGACTGACTTTGAGCTGATAAAAAAGCAACAGAAACTTTAAATAACTACTCATTACAACCAAGATGTGCAGAAGAGCATCTCTGAATGAATCTGCAGAAACCACACTGGATGACACTGCTGTTAGCTAAGAACAGGATACTAAGACTACAGTTCATACAAGGTCACCAAAACTGAAAAGTAGAAAACTGGAAAAATGTTGTCTGGTCTCATGATTGCCCATTTTTCCTGCAACATTTGAAATCAAATCAAACACTTAGACCACTGCTGGTGGTGTAAAGGTGTGGCACACTCAAGCTACTGAGGCACACTCAGTAGCTTTTATTGTTTAAACACCACAGCACACCTGGGTGAACCTGTGCCATGAAAAATGAAGGCAGTTTTGAAAACAAAAGGGTGTCCAATCCAGGACTACCAAGATGTTCCTAATAAAGTGCCCGTGAGTGTAAATATTCAAGGTGTAAAGAAAACAACAAGTCAAACCATTCATTGGGAAAGTCTAATGGAAATAGTGTATTTGCAGGTTGTTACTTTGCTGGACTTGCCACTAAGCGACACGCCATTGTTCCCTTTTTATTTCATATATTTCTACTCTTATAATTATGTAATCATTAGTGCAGCAGTGGGCATTCTGCTAGGACAGCTGGGGTCCACCTGTCCCTGCAAATCAATACAAAATTGCTTTCTTTCTTTATGGGCGGGTTCTCTTATGGTTTGAGGAAGACATAAATGCTGTGCCAAACCCTGCAGTCACGAGAGCACCATTAAATTGCCAAATATGGAAGTATCTATTGAAAGAATGGTTTGTGGCTTCATTTGGAGAATGAGTTGCAAAGTGAAACCGCTCCGGAGGGACTTAATAATGCAGTTACATGTGTTTCTAGTAATTTGTTACCTGTTTGTGTATCAGCAGCATTATGAACTATACCTCCCCAACCATCTCAGGCATGATGACTGAGGTCCATTTCAGTATTAGCAGTCATAACCACATTTTTAAAGACATGGGACAAAAAACACAAACAAAGACAGAAACCCACCACCTCCTCGCAACAATCACAAAGTAAATCCACAATAGCTTTAGCGCTATAAAACATCACTAGGCTGATTTCCCCCCCCTTTAAGTCTAGCAGCATAAATTCGTGGTGGGCTCATCATCACCGGAATTGCTCCGTGTTTGATTGCAGCGGTGTAGAAAGCGCTGCATTTACGAGCATTTGCAGGTCATCATCGGCTTAAAGAAAAGAAAAACGATTGACATCACGTTTTATTAGCAGTAAAGAAAAGCGACTGTGTAGCTGTGCATCATCAGTGCAGCACAACAACAGCTCAGGCTGGCTGTAGTATCCGCACGCTCGGCTCAGCCTGTGTTACATAACAACAGCTCACACGTGAGCTCAGCACAAGGACAGCCACACATCTCTGTGTCCACTGCTGACAACAAAACAAGCGGTTTACACGCGCTGAACACAACGGCCGCCTCACGGACACGGTGTGCGCGGATCTATTCGGATGCTATTTAACGCCAGGGAGAAGACACCCCTCTGCGTTTCGAGCACTCACCAGTCGCAGCTTGTCTTGTTTTGTTTTCAGCACAGCTGGGACACCAGACGCACTTCCGCCCTGCAGTCCAGCCAATCGGGTGGCTCCGCCTCGCTGTGACTCCGCCAAACAAAAAAACCAAAAAAACAGTGCGCCACTGCACAGTGCTGCCGAAATACAGCCTGCATGCAGATAACACCAGCGTCTGGTCACTATGGCATCACTTCAGGAAACCGACGGAGTGCTGGTGTGGAAGATAATGTCAGTCAAATCTGACTTTGAAAATGTGCAAGTTTTCTTCCATCAGCGTTTACAAAAAGTTGTGGGGGTAGGAAAGGAGGTCTGTAGGGGAACTGCATGCTGACGGTCACAAGGGGCAATTAGAACGAGCTTATGCTTATTTAGTTAGTGAAGTACCTGAGAAAGTCCCATTCAGTTTAGTTCATGTGTGTTTTTCAGAGACTAAATGTAAACCTGCATCTTGTATGTTTTGTATATCTTTAAAGAAATAGCTCTATGTTAACGTCAGACCACCTCTCAGTGTTAGTAGGTGACTCTACTCCTGTTTTGCTGGGATTTTTTTGCTGGGTAACTTTAGCTGGATACCTTTGCTTCCACTGTGTAGAATTCAGAGGTTTTAGAAACTATGGATTGTTATCTTTGCTAAACACTGCTAATGCACTGTTGTTCTATGTTGGTCTAAAATGAAACTTAAAATTGTGCACCCGTGAGTTGGAGATCTAGTGCGAATGTCTTAAGATACCCTTATTTCTTTGTAGTTTTCTTGCAAGTAGCCAGACTTTCTTGTCATTTTGAAGTGGTCCTAAAGATTTGTTCTTCAAGCTTTCAGAAGTTCTGTCAAAGTTCTTCTTTGGACATTGGCTGATTTTTCACTCGTTTTCAATCCAGTCCTTGTACCTGATAGTCTGATAGTATTTAATATGCACATTGTTAAGAAACGGAGAAAAAAACCCAGCAGAGACCTGAAACAGGACCTGAAAGATGCATCTGGCCCTCAGGATGAAAGTGTCTGATTGGCAACAGCTTCATTTTGCAGCATGACAGTGATTCCAAACACACTTCCAATGCAGTAAAACCACAAGTAGATAGAAAAACACACAATTACAACACCATCAGTCATGGATTGGCCTCCACAGAGACTGGACCTTAACATTATTGGAAGCAGTGTGGGGTCAAGAACAGAACAAAAGACAGCCAACATCCAAAGAAGAGCTTTGAATGTCTTCAAGAAGCCTGGAGAACTATTCCTGAAGACTACCTAAAGAAATTACAAGAAAGCTGCCTAAGAGAGTTCAGACTATACTGAATAATAAAGGTGGTCATACCACACAGTGACTTTCAAGCTTAATAGAATTGTTCAAACTGTGTTTTTGCCTTATATACTGTATTTCCATTTATGCTTACACATTTTTCAATTAATCTCTTCACCCATTTCCCCAAATAAAGACACAAGGGATGGCTCATGACTTTTGCACAGCACTGTGTAATATTAGCATTAACCAAAGTCAACTTCATAAGTGTGTTACCTAAATCTGAAGTCAGCAATGCAAATACTCCAACAGCGAGGGCTGACTTTGACTGAATGAGGAGAAATATTGGATGCTATAGTAAACCGGGGGAAAAACATTTTTCGTCCTATTTTTTCATCTCGAAAGGTGAAAAATCCTACTAAAAATGCCTGAAGGAGACTTTTTAAAGCATCCATCCATTTTCTTAACTGCTTGCCCAGCTTAGGTTTGCACTGGTGAGTGGGTAAGTGGGGGTGCTCAAGGCAGAAAGGCCCCAGCTGATGAAGCGGTTCAAACCAGGAATCTCCTTGCTGTTAGGTGACACTGCACCACTGTTCTGCTCTTTTCTCAAGCATATCTAACACTATGTGAAGGCTTGAGGTATTATTAGCAACAGGTTTGCACTGTGTTGTGAGTATGCAATTTACTCTCTTTTTAAGGCACTGTTGTGTTGGATTGCACTGTTAGAGCAGTGTGTCATATAGCTGTTCAGTGGGAAATTATCTGTCACACAGTTTGAGTAAAAGCAAAATCAAAGAGCTTTCTATTTGCTGCATGGCTGTTGTTGAATTGCACAAGCTTCTATAGCTGCTCCCAGCTGTGTTCATCCATAAAATGACTGCATACATAGAAACATGCACATGCTGTGTATGTATCAATGTTACATTTTGTCCAATTTCTTCAAACCAAAATCCCAAACCATGTTAAATTTGTAATTACTGTAGTTCCAGATGTCAGATTACAGTAATTCTGTTGCAGCCACACTTTTTAAAACAATAGTGGACTAATAAGTGTTTTATGATTGAAGCTCACTGTAATGATGTTTTCTCAATGCTAGTGTTGTTGCTGAATGAAACAAAAAAAAGTAATTTACCATTTCTTTCATCTATCAGATGAAGGCAGCCCAAATAATAAAAAAGAAAAGTCAGTGAAAATGAGTACAAAAGCCATTTAATCGCTCTCATCTTCCTCTTAATAACTGCAAATTTCCCCTTGGGCCCATGGGAGAGGGCCTCTCTGTGCCGCTGCCACCTTATCTGTCGCCTCCATATTTCAGCATGCTGAGCGGCTCCCTCAGTACCCAGCCCCCGGCCTCCTCTCATTGGGCCTGTGGGGAAGCTGGGCTCCTGGGCCCGCCATTGTTCTGGCCTGGGAGGAAAGTCCAGAGAGAGCCCTGAAAGCTGGAGTGTGGGAATATTAAAAAAGAAAGAAAGGGGGAAAAAAACTTTAGCCACTGCTTCATTAAGTGGCAGCCTTTCACAAGCAAACATATCAGAAACAGCCCCCTTTCAGAGGCAGTAATTAGCAATTTGGAAACCGTACCCCCTCAGGATATACTGTTTCAATTTAGTCAGCAGCTTTGGATTCTTAGGCACTTAATATTCATTGTTTCTGCCTTCTTCCCAATTTCTCAACGTACATTGTCTAGTCTTTCACTGGTGATAAAGTGTTTTATCTGTCGTGTAATTCTTCTTTTGAATGAGCTCTCTGCAAGAGAAGTTAATATTTAGAAATAATTTTCTAAGGGATTTGCAGAGAATGTGAGGGGAGCGATAGCAAAGTGCTCTTCACAAAGTGCCAAAGTGAATATCATATGGAGTTTGGAAGCTTCATTCAGTAAGTGTTGCAATAAATAATTGGACGAGGAAAGTTCCTGCAATTTCCTCTGATGAAGTTACATCTTTATGCGTCAACGTACGTGTTTGTGAAAACAAAAAAAATAAAGAAGCTCGCTACATCTGAAGCTCAACATGGACTCTGCGAGGAACAGTGTGACACTAAAAGTACAGAATTATGAGCTGTTATTATTAATAAACTGCTCTGTGTTTGTATCAACCCTCTGCAAAGATTTAATAGCTAATGTTTTTGCAAACTGCTTATTAAGCCAAACCGCACATCACACCTCAGGGGTAGCAGACTGACACTTATCTTTGTCTCCGTGGAGCCTTTGTTTCAAAATGTTACCACTTCCATTCATTTTCAATCACCATTGTCTAATAGAAATAATTGATTTTTTTTTTTTTTGCCTCTTCTTGGCAAATGAAAAACGCTTGTGATTAAACACTTTGTCTCCAAATCTAAATTCCAAGATCGCCATCAACACTTGAGAAAAATAGGCAACTCATTAAAGCAAAAAAAAAAAGAAGAAGAAAGAAGTAGCTAAGATGTGAAAAGAGGAGACAGGGAATGAAATAATGAATGGAGTCCGAGCGAGCTATCTTTCCCAGGCAGAGCGTCACTAGGGATGCAAACTCTCAGCCACCAGAAATGAGCTACCTATCTGTGAAAAGAGTGACTGCTCCATCCTATTTGATTTGGCTCTCCTATCATCTCTTAAGAAGATGTCAGCCTTGCTTCTTCTATTGCTCTGAGCCTTTATCAACCCGGAGACGATTTCCCGGGGAGAAAAAAAGAAAGAAAAAAAGAAAGAGGGGAAGAGTAAGTAGGGGGAGAGACACATTTCAGTGCCTTTCAGGGAGCAACACTAAAGAATAAGTGTTATGCGATAAAAAGGGGGTTGTTAAATAGATCTGTCTATTTGTATGGTAATAATGATCGCTTAAAGACTCGAGTCTGCGTGACTTGTAGAACAAGGAAACAAATCTGTATTCAGGTATTGTGTTAACATGACTCTCCCAACGACCTTGTGAAACTTTCATACAGTAAAAAATGAGTTGGATTTGAGTTTTTTCCCCTTCTGTTTGTATCATTCTTTTCTCTGTCCTTTTAGCGAAGGGGAAGGGTTACAGAGCTGAGCGCCAGCTCTTTCCATTTTAAATCATCTTTGTCAGAGCCGTTTTAGACCGATCTGGGAACGATTTGAAGAGTTCTCTGACAGATCTGTCTCTCTTTAAAAAACGAATCTTACGAGGGTGTCTGTTAATATGTTTCGATTATTGTTATGTGGCATCTTTTTCATCGCTCAAAAATATTTAACTGCAAGTAAAAGAAGACTTAAGTTACAGATGAGGACAGATGTATTGCTTCCACTATGATTTTTTTTTGTCAAAAGCAATGAAGCAAAGGATTTTCAACATTTCTATATATACTCATTTTTATTTTTTAAAAAGAATAAATTAATTTAATCTGAACAAAATAACAGAATTATTCCAGAAAAAAAATACCATGGTCAAAATTATTAGCCCCCTGAAAAACTGATCTTTTAACTGCTTTAACTTTGTAATCCTCTAACCTTGGAAAATTAAGTTGAAACTCAGGTTACATTCGAATTTACGCCCATTATAAAGACTTCAGCAATGGTTTGAGCTATCACTCAAGAAAGCATGGTGCCAAAAACAAAAATGAGTTTAGACTTGAGAAAAAAAATTACTGACGTTGACAAAGCAGGAGATGTTTATACAAAGTTATGACAGCATTTTCAAGGGTCAAGAGCTGAAGCCAGAAGCATTACTAAGAAATTCAAAGAGAGCCACATAGTAAAGAAAAAACCTGGCAAAGGTAAGAAGTCTGGAAAAAATACTATGAGATGTGTCTACACACCCCAGAAAAACTGTCAAGACACGAGTGAACGACTTTTGAAAGTCGGGAATTGCAGAATTCTTCTGCAGAAGCGACACTTTTAAGCCACACTAAAATATGCTGAGGACAACCTGCAGAAACATTATGGATACTGGAAGCTTGTATTGGAGAAATAAGGGAGAGGCCTACAGCACGAAGGTTAAGCATCCCCACTGTGAAACACAGTGGAGGGAGTATTATACTGTGGGGATG